CCAGCGTTTCCACTTTTGCAAGTCAGCAAAATCCTGCGGAACTGCTGCAAATTTTGTTTGTTCTGCGGAAGTTCCGGTGAATTGTCTAAGTGGATGAGAACTTGAACGGCTTTTTCGTGACACAAGACAGACTTTATTCATGTACAAAAATGGATTTCAACAAATAATAGCGGAAGTCAGTCCCTAATCTTACTATCTATATTGATTGTAACAGGACCATCGTTCTCAATATCAACATTCATGTAAGCAGCAAAGCGACCATCCTGAAAACTTGCTTTCTACATATATTTCATCATCATAGAAGACAGCTTACCTGAATCTTCTCATGAGAATATGATGAACGCATTCTATCCATAAATCGCGCATAAAAAGCAGATGCATCTTCAGGATTCATAGAATTGTGAAAATCAAGCTTATTTCCCTTAACATACATGATATGCTAAATTAACTAAATGTAACTTTGTGATATTCACCTTTAGAATTCCATAGAGCGTAAACTGGCTGACACAAAGCACTTCGAGACCTTCGTCTTTGACGGATTTGTCCCATCGCTTTTTGTCCGATTCAAAAAGTCGAATATTCAATATTTTTCGCACTATATATTCTATATCGTCTTCTTTGTCATCTTTGCTAATCCCCACGAAGACACAGACACCTCGTCCAATAGATCCTACCTGTAAGACAGAGATCACTTTGTTTCTCAATTCAAACTCGAATATTTCATTTCCACGTCGTCCTAAAATGAGAAATTAGAAATTTGTATTTTTTACACAGGAATCACAGATTTGTACTTTTGAGAACTTATTAACTCCATCTCAGTCTTGAAAAAAAATTTTTTTTCGATTTCAAGCACTAGAGAAATCGTGAAACTTTTAAATGATTATCGTTTGCAACAAAGAAAAAGGGAGGTCAATTGTTGCTAAGTTTGAGTTTTTTCGTTGAAAATTTCCCCGAGAAATCTAATATATAAAGAATCACAACCGCAGTTCAAAAATCTTCCAAAAGCG